TGGAGCGGACGGTCCCCGACAGTGCCGCAAGAGCCAGATGTTGTACAGCCGCTTTTATGGGGTGATTATCGAAGGGGCTGCTGACAACAGCAAATGAAAAGATCGCTTCAGAAGGCAGCACCACCCACTACCCACTGCGTCATTTGGTTCCGTCGGAGATTAGTGTTACTGCAGCTTGTTTACGTCTTGGACTCGGGTCGCCACTGGCAGCAATCATCATTCTGCTGATCGGAGTCCTAGAGCCTTTCAGTTCTGGGATGCCCCATCTATGAGGCTGCTCGGGCCTGCTACAGAAGGACGCATGAGGATGCTTTGCTAAACTTCAAACTTGCTTACCGAGCCTCGGACTTCGAAAGGCTACCCTCGTGCACATGGACGGCTTTAAATCGGAGGCGAGCAGGCCGCCAAAAACGTGCGAGAGCATGGAAGTCTGGTGGGTTTAGGCTCAGGCTCTGGAGTGGGAGCTCAGGGAGATGGTTTTTACAGAAGGTTTCGGCTCCTCACGGCTTTGGGCACCGGATTTCGGATGAGGTGGGCTCCCCTTCACTCGCGCGCCGAAGCGCCTCTGCTGGCAGGGCGCCCTTTGGTTTGGGAGCTTTCGTGAGCTTTCTGTACCATGCTGGATCCTGTTGTGGTCTTCTGCGGCCTTCGGCCCCGAGGTGAGCCAATCACGCTTGCCTGCAGAGTTCAACCTGCTGAGCCAGTTTGAGAAGCACATGCAGGCTGACCGCAGAGTGCGGGATGCAGCAGTGTGAAAGCGAGTCCTGTCGCGTTGCCTTACTTGCTCCTGTTGGCAAAACCAGGCAGGCGCGCTCCGTGGTCTGCTGTTTTTGACGTGCTCGAGTAATGCGCGGAGTCAGTGCCGCGAGATTAGGAGATGGGGAGCAGTGGTTGCAGCACCGCGCGAGGAGCTGCAGCGAGCGCGCATCACCTCGGGCTGGACGTACAAGCCAGCTGCTGCCTCAAAGTTTCTATGTCTTGGGATGGGTCCGGTGATGTGAGGACCGGATCAGAGCAGTGACTTCTGTGACACCTAGGTCGCTATTCTGCACCCGTGCAGCCCTCAGATGGTAAAGCAGGCTGCTGAATGCTGCAGCTTAAGTGCCGTGTTATGCTGATCAGACACCAATCTGTGACAGATGCGTGAAAACACGTTTCCTCATGGTTCCCATAGAAGAGATAAGTTAGCACAGCCTGGTCCAGCTCAGGCACATTCTGAAATGGGAGTGGATGCACCCTCTGTACACGAGCAAAGGCTTGCCTTCGCCTGAGCACCTGTTCTCCGCGTTGTATGACATTGTATGACTGATGCAGCAGAGAAACTACAAGAGGAAGAAGAAAACAACAGCTTCGACTTACAGCGCATCCATGGATAAGAAATGCCCGCCCCCCGCGTCGGATACCCTTCATTTCTTAGCTTCCTGTTACCTTCACGTTTCCGCGTGTCCCAGCTTCTAGATCGTTGGGCGCCCTTCATTTCTTGCTCATTTCTTAGCTGCCCAAGTCTAGCTATTGAGTCAATGCCTTTGACATGAGTCTAGACAAACACCGCCAAGACAGAATTCTACTACAGTGTCTCTAGGTTCTAGATGCAACTGCCACCACTTCGAATCAAACTACCATAGCTTCAGGGGCACGCGGCAAGTCACGCTCCATAGCTGCAGAGCTTCGTGGCGGCTCAGCGCCTGGAAACCAACCAAAATAGGAGACGCAGACTCCCTGCATTTCTTATTTTGGCTCCCGCGCTATGGTCGAGGCTTAAGACCCGGAAATCAGCCAAAATAAGAAACGTAGACCGCCTGCATTTCCTATTTTGGCTCCTGCTCTGCGCCCTAGGCGTAAGACCCGGAAACCAACCATAAGAAACGCAGACCCCCTGCATTTCTTATTTTGGCTCCTGCTCTGCGCCCGAGGCTTAAGACCCGGAAACCAACCAAAATAAGAAACGTAGACCCCGTGCATGTCTGATTTTGGCTTTTGCTCTGTGCCCTCGGCTTAAGACCCGGAAACCAACCAAAACAAGAAACGCATGTCTGATTGCTTCTGCCGTGTGCCCTAGGCTAAAGACCCGGAAACCAACCAAAATAAGAAATGTTGACCCCCTGCATGTCCCATTTTGGCTCCTGCTCTGCGCCCTAGGCTTAAGACCCGGCAACCAACCGAAACAAGAAACGCAGACCCCCTGCATGTCTGATTTTGGCTTCTGCCGTGTGCCCTAGGCTTTTAAGACCCGGAAACCAAGCAAAATTTGGAAACGTAGACCCCCTGCATGTCTGATTTTGGCTTCTGCCCTGTGCCCTGGGCTTAAGACCCGGAAACCAACCAAAATTTGGAAACGTAGACCCCCTGCATGTCTGATTTTGGCTTCTGCCGTGTGCCCTAGGCTTAAGACCCGGAAACCAACCATAAGAAACGCAGACCCCCTGCATTTCTTATTTTGGCTCCTGCTCTGCGCCCGAGGCTTAAGACCCGGAAACCAACCAAAATAAGAAACGTAGACCCCCTGCATGTCTGATTTTGGCTTCTGCCGTGTGCCCTAGGCTTAAGCCCGGAAACCAACCAAAATTTGGAAACGTAGATCCCCTGCATGTCTGATTTTGGCTTCTGCCGTGTGCCCTGGCTTAAGACCCGGAAACCAACCAAAATTTGGAAACGTAGACCCCCTGCATGTCTGATTTCCCGGAAACCAACCAAAATTTGGAAACGCAGACCCCTGCATTTCTTGTTTCGGCTCCTGCCGTGTGCGCCATGCTTGAGTACACCGAATCAAGAAACGAGCCACCCAGCCAAATAAGAATTGATCCCAAAACGTTGGGTACCGGTCATTTCTTAGCCAGAAGGTATTTTCGATTTTCGGCTTTTCGGCGCTATCAAGCTGATGTAGCCCCTACATTTCTTATCCGACCTTCCTTGTACAGTGATTGCACTGTGCCAAAAGCACTGCACAGATTGACATCCCGCCTCGTGACAGTCGTGTGCCTCCCTGTTCTCTCTCGTTGCCCAGGCCTCTGCGCTGCGAGGGCCTCTTCGAGAAGAAGAATCCTGTTGGGCCCGTGTCCCGGCGTTGCTGCGGCTGTAGCCTGTAGCACTCGGGAGATTTTGGCATTCGCGGTGGCCGTGATCGAAAGTGCCAGCTGACTTAGCCGGATTGCTATTCTGCTTGGTCATATGCCTGGTCACTGTCTCTAGACACACTGACAAGCCGGTGCACGTCTGTGAGGTTTGTTGTGTTCGCTTTCCTTTGAAGGGCCATTCCGCTTTGCCAGGAGTACTAACCCCAGCAATACTTAGGCCCCTAACCCTTGAACGAGTTACCTTGGACCGCAAGGCCTCAAGGACTGCACGAGCCCTGGAACTTTGCTGCATTGTATCTCGGCAGAGGTTGGTTGGCTACGTGCAGCCCCTCGTCCAGGCTGAGACGGCAACAGTTCTTGCATGTTTCTGGTGCTACCGTGATTCGTGCCATCACACTTCTTGCTCTTCCGTGTTGTCCTCACTCCAAGTGTTCTAGCATTCTAGCTAGTATCGTGGGCCGTGCAGACCAGAATACTGCCAGTAGTACTGATCATGACCATAATATCGCGTATAAGAAGAGGTCTTCATCACACCTAGACAGCACGATCTGGAAGCCCCAGGCCCAAAGCAGGGGCCGCTTACGTTGCAAGTGTCGGATACCTAACCTCTGCAGGCTTGTAGTGTGCCGAACTCTTGAGTGGGACATGTGTTGTTCCAAAGTAGGCCCAGTTGAAGGTCTTGCTTTATGAAAGATCTGGTACCAAAGGGAGGTATCGTTTGGAGCAGACCCGGCATGAGCTTCGCGAGGACACGGTCACCCAGGTTGCCTGCTTCGCCGTTGCCGCAAGTGCTGGGACCTTGAGTCCATCGTCAAATCTGTCTCTCTCTCTCTCTCTACATATATACAAACAGCAGCTACCACTAAAGCATAATTCAAAGCCAAGTTTTAAGTTGAATGCAAGACCCTGCCACAGACCGCAAAGACGCCCTGGGCCCAGGTCCGCGGAGGGCCCGGTCCCACCAGATCATACCCAGAAGGAGCCAGGGACTCGCGCAGCAGCGTCACTCATTCGAGTTTAAACTGAATTTGTATTGCGTTGGCGCGTTGAGCTCAGAATTTCGCGTTTATCGGGCGCTCTAAGGCAGCTCGTGTGCAGCACGGCTTTTTGCGATTACAGGAAGACACACTGCACGATAAATGCACACCCAGTATCAAGACATTCTGTCAGTCCAGCTTCCCTAAGATAATTCGTTGTCGCAGTCGCAGTCGCAGTCGCAGTCGCAGTCGCAGTCGCAGTCGCAGTCGCAGTCGCAGTCGCCGTCGTAGTCGTAGTAGTAGTACTGGCAGCAGCAGCAGCAGCAGCAGCAGTAGTAGCACGTAGTAACAGCATTACTGTAGTAGTACTGAGTAATAGTAGCATTAGTATTTGTATCATTGTGCTTAGTAGCCAAACCAATCAGTACGCAGCGATCGTTCGGTGATGAGGGCTCGCAGTGGTAATTGTAGAGGTAGCAGTAAGTCATGCGTGTTTATCTCCGTGACGGATGCTGTAAACCCTGAGCGCTAAACACAAAATGAACCCCAACGAGAGCAGGCCGAGATTGTCCGCAGTCTTCCTGCAGTGTTCCTTTTCGGCTGCGGTGAGCCCGGGATCGTCGCCACACTGAGACTTTGCGGTAAGCAGCTGCACTATGGCAATACCCTTTGTTTCCGTGTTTTCCATAATTGGTAGAATTGCAGGGTTTCGGTTAAGGCTTTATAGGGCCTCGGGTTTGGCGTCAAGACCCAGGTTAGGCGAACACAAGTTTGATAAGCTTCGAGACTGTCATGATGCTCTGCAACGAGAAAGGGGTGATGCACTTGTGTTTGGTTTTCTCTGGTGTGAGTTTACCGTTTCAAGTCAAGACACAACGCTGCGAAAGTCCTCATCCACCAGTCCTATAACCTGTACATACATTACAGCCCCTAAAACCCTAAACCACTCGAGACGCGAGCCCTAGTTCTTATGAGTTTCCCCCGAAACCCCTACATTTTTTGTTGTGAAACCTTCAGAGCCCTGGACCGAAGATGGATGAAGCACTAATGTCACACCATAGTGTGCCCTGGAGCCCCGAAAATAGTCTAATACGACCCTTAGAGCTCATACGGCTATCGTAACCCTTATGGTAAGCTTTGTAGCAACCACTATCGTAAGTAGCCCTGGTAGTACCCCTTATAGACCCTTTTCATTTAAAGGGAACCCAAAGAGCTAGTACCATCGTACCCTTGTAGTAATCCTTAAAGACACCCTTTTTTAAAGGAACCTTATAGCAGCGCTTAATATCTGAACCCCTGCTCAACTTCTGGTAGCCCCTTGTACAGGAAGCCTCCGAGCCCTAAGCCCTTTTTCAGCACGGACAGCGTCCATGCAACCCTCACCCCGT